TCCTTAAATTGGGCTCACCGGCCAATCTAATTATCACAGGTGTCCGAGATTGTTTTCAGTGATCAGAGCCCTGAGACACAATGCCATCCATGAGTTAAACTGAAAAACAAAATATTTACTCTTTGTGACGCTTAAATAGAATTTGCATAATAATTTGAAACGCGGTGTAATGATCCATAGAACATCAGAGATAATATGTAGCAGGTATTGGGGCTTTAGAACAGTTTGCATTTGTAAGATAATTGGGTGGGCAGATGCTAGAGCATGGTGATGTATGAGAGTAATGCAGGCAAGGGAAAGACTGATGTGTGTTTTGTGTGTGGGTCTAAATCTCAATAACTGGTTGTGTTGCTGCAATAAACTAGATGTAACAAACAGCTTGGTGTTGATGATGTTCCTTTAAAGTGGTTATATACATCAGACAAGAAATATGAACAAAACACATCCTTCTATACTGTGTACTTCTTTCTATCCAAAGCATGGATTGTGATTTCTCTTTGCTGCCCCATTCCTCTGTTATCTACTTGTGTCACTTCTGACAGCATTTCCCAATTCCAAGAGATAATTGGTGACAGGGAGAAGAGCACACAATCATAGCACACAGCCTGTGATTGACAGCTACAGCTGTGCATGTCCCTGTGTGCTTTGAGGAGGGGGGGTGTCGCTTCCCTCCAGTCAGGGCTCAGACCTCTCTTTAGGGCTCTTTCACATGGATGTTCTGATTGGGTCCGCCTGCCTGTTTTTCATGTGGACCCGATCGGAACCTCCATTCTCCTCTATGGAGCAGTGGGTGTAAACAAACGTGTCAGTTTACACCTGCCAACATCTGATTCAATCTGCCAAAAAGGATCCAATTCCCCTTCCGTCCGTTGGAACGGGTCGGAAGAAAATGAACAGGAGGTCTGGTTTCATCCAACCACCATTTGAGGGGAGCGAGCAGCTCTGTGTCAACTCTGCAGCAGCGGAGCAGACACAGAGCTGTCATCCGCTTGCTCATTGGAGATCAGCGGAGAGATCCCCCGCTGAGCAAGCGGATCCGCTAAATGGGTCCGCCCCATGTGAAAGGATCCTTACTGAGGTCTGCAGTGAGAGAAGTCTGATCCCCACCCTCTGCTTTCCAGAGTTGAGAGATGCTATGTAAAATGTGTGTTTGGAACAATGTCAAGGACAAATGGCTACAGACAAACAGGTACAACTTATGTAGAAGAATTTTTGTTTAATCTGTGTCACCTGATGCTAGTCAGGTCACTGGGTATATGTAAGGCTTTACAACCATTTTAATGGGTGAGAAAAGATCTCAAGTCTAGGTTGTAAAAGTGTGAGCAGTGTAGGGAAAGTCATTCCGTATGGCAGCTACATAGAATAGCAGCAGGCCATACAGTTAGGAAGTAAACTGTTCCAATTGTGGTTTATTATCAGAAGGAAAAAGTTAATAGTATTTAGCCATCCCAGTGCTAACACTTTTTGGCAGAATGATGCAGATGATTAACCGCATGCCGCCCAGCCACTGTAGATATACGGCGACAGGGCGGCACTCACAGGCAAAACCACGTTTTAAGACGTGTGTTTTGTAAACAAATAGGAGGCGCACCGCCGCCCCTATTTGTCCTGCGCGTTCTCTGCCGCAGATGTCAGTCGCCGGGTCACAGCCGCTCCTTAGCGGCTATGTCCCGGCGATCGGCCGCAAACAGTGACAGAGAGCACAGCTGCAGTAGCTGTGCTGTCTGTCACTTCCCTGACAGCTCGAGGATGAGAGCTGATCGAGGAAAGAACAGTTTTTCTTTCTCGATCAGCCTTGTCCCGCCCAGTACACACCCCCCCCCTCTAGTAAAACACTCCCCTCACTCCTATAACCTTTCCCTGTAAAATAAAGTTAACCCCTTCCTCCCCATTGCCATTAGTACAGTGTCAGTTTTTTTTTGCACTGATCACTGTATTAGTGTTTTTGGGGATGTCAGTGACCCCAAGTCAGTACCCCCCAATGTCAAAATGTCCGCCGCAGTCCCGCCATAAGTCCCTGATCGCTGCCATAATTCGCTGATCGCCGCCATTATCAGTATAAAAAAACCCCTAAAAATCCCAGTATCTTTCCCGCCATTTGTAAACGCTATAACTTTCACGTAAACCAATTAATTTACACGTATTGGGTTTTTTTTTTAGCAAAGACATGTCGCAGAATGCATTTTGGCAGAAATTTATGACTAAATTTGATTTTTGCATTTTTTTTTACTGGACATGTTTTATAGCAAAAAGTCCAAAATATTGTTTTTTTTTTCCCTCAAAATTGTCAGCCTTTTTTTTTTTATAGCGCAAACAATAAAAAAACCGCACAGGCGATCAAATACCACCAAAAGAAAGCTCAATTTGTGGGGAAAAAAAGGATGTAAATTTCATTTATGTACCATATTGCATGACTGCGCAATTGTCCGTTAAACTAGTGCAGCGCTGTATAGCAGAAAAATGGCGTAAATTGCAGTATTTATACCATAGTTTGTAGACGCTATAACTTCCACAAAAAGCAATCAATATACACTTATTGGGATTTTTTTTACCAAAAACATGTAGCAGAATACATTTTGGCCAAAATTTATAACCAACTCTGAGTTTACTATATATTTTTTTATAGCTGAAAATAAAAAATATTGTTTTTCTTCAAAATTTTGGCCTTTTTTTGTTTATAGCGTGAAAAATAAAAAGCGCACAGATGATCAAATACCACCGAAAGAGAGCTCTATTTGTGTGAAAAAAAGGACCTAAATTTCATTTGGGTGCAGCATTGCATGACCGAGCAATTATCAGTTGAATTAGTGCAGCGCCGAGTAGCAAAAAGAGGCCTGGTCATTAACCACATGCCGCCCAGCCACCGCATATAAACGGTGGCAGAGCGGCGCTCGTAGGCAAAAGCACGTTTTAAAACGGCTGCCTTCAAAACAGGTAGGGGGCGCGCGCCCGCCCTGCCTGTCCTGCGGGTGTCAGCAGCGGGTCTCCGCCGCCGGGTCACGGCCGGTTTTTACCGGCTGTTTTCCCGCGATGAGCGGTAATCACTGACACAGAGCAGGGCTGCATTGTTTACACACAGCCTGCTCTGTGACAGTTCGCCGACAAGCTGCAGAGGGAGAGAAGAGTTTCTCTCCCTCGATCAGCTCCCCCCTCCCTCCCCCCGTCCAGTACACACCCCCGCCCCCTAGTAAAACTCTCTCCTTACACAGCAAATTCTAAAAATGTTAACCCCTTCCTCCCCAGTGACATTAGTACAGTTTCAGTGTTTTTTTTTTCACTGATCACTGTATTGGTGTCACTGGGGATGTCAGTGACCCCAAGTCAGTCGTCCCCCCCCCCCAGTGTCAAATGTCCGCCGCAGTCCCGCCATAAGTCGCTGGTTGCCGCCATATGTCGCCGATTGCCGCTATATGTCGCTGATCAGCGCCATTATTAGTATAAATAAAAATTAAAAATCCCAGTATCTTTCCCGCCATTTGTAAACGCTATAACTTTCACGTAAACCAATTAATTTACACGTATTGGGTTTTTTTTTTTTTAGCAAAGACATGTCGCAGAATGCATTTTGGCAGAAATTTATGACTAAATTAGATTTTTTTTTTTTTTTTTTTTTTTTTTACTGGACATGTTTTATAGCAAAAAGTCCAAAATATTGTTTTTTTTTCCTCAAAATTGTCAGCCTTTTTTTTTTTTATAGCGCAAAAAATAAAAACCGCACAGGCGATCAAATACCACCAAAAGAAAGCTCAATTTGTGGGGAAAAAAAGGATGTAAATTTCATTTATGTACCGTATTGCATGACCGCGCAATTGTCCGTTAAACTAGCGCAGCGCTGTATAGCAGAAAAATGGCGTAAATTGCAGTATTTATACCATAGATTGTAGACGCTATAACTTCCACACAAAGCAATCAATATACACTTGTTGGGATTTTTTTTACCAAAAACATGGAGCAGAATACATTTTGGCCAAAATTTATAACCAACTTTGAGTTTACTATATATTTTTTATAGCAGAAATTAAAAAATATTGTTTTTCTTCAAAATTTTTGGCCTTTTTTTGTTTATAGCGTGAAAAATAAAAAGCGCACAGGTGATCAAATTACACCGAAAGAAAGCTCTATTTGTGTGAAAAAAAGGACCTAAATTTTGTTTAGGTGCAGCATTGCATGACCGCGCAATTATCAGTTGAATTAGTGCAGCGCCGAGTAGCAAAAAGAGGCCTGGTCATTAAGGGGGGTAAATCCTCAGGAGCTCAAGTGGTTAAACACTAGTTAAAGTAGATGTAAACACTAACTGAACGACCTTTTAATTTGCTAAATCACTGTGCATAATGTATTTTCCTAATTTTTTTTTTTTTTCGTGACAGCAGTGGACCATGCCATGTAACACTAATGTAAAGGGCCACCTGTAGTCTTCATCAGAAGCCTGTGTGAGAGGATGACCCCAACAGCAGAGTGACTAGGGTTTTGTTGAATGAAACTGAAGATTTAGCCTGGGTTCACATATATGCAGTGGGGATGCGGTGTGTTTTTGTTCAAATTGTTTTTGTAAAATCGCACAGGGCCCTTTTCAAAATCGTACTGTGAATGGCAAACATAGAAAACTATATTATTTGCCCTGTCATGCTGTTCAGTGCATTCTGAAACACAGACTCGCATATTCGTGAACCGAGCCTGAGTGTTTTACTTTCTGGCCTTGCCGGACACTGCACAGGCTTGCTTCTGAAATAACCTGGTCTATTTCTACCTGTGCTACTACCCTATTGATTCCAGTGGAGAGCTGTGCTCCTACTGAAGATCTTGATTGTTGGTATTTACAAACACTTTATAGGATTAGTTATGGCTTGGGGTACAAATTTGTATCATAGCATCATTTGAACTAGAGTTATGTTGGGGGAGGAGGGGTGTATGGTTTTTTGTTTGTTTTTTTTAATTTTTTTTCCCTCCCTCCCATCTCTTGCAGGTTTGTTTTAGCAGTTGGAAGTGCTGTCTTTGATGCTATGTTTAATGGTGGCATGGCCACAACATCCACAGAAATTGAACTACCAGATGTTGAGCCGGCTGCTTTTCTTGCTTTGCTAAAGTAAGTTGTAAATGTCAATTTAATCAGTTATTCTTTTCCACATACAAAAAAGAAAAACACAATTATTTTTTTCCAACCTTGGATTACACTTCCACTTCCGTAACACTCAGTTTAACCCCTTCACACCTAAGGTAAAACAAATTTTAATGCCTATGCACATTTTGTAACGTTGACATGTGTTAGTAAAACCGTACATATCATCCAAACTACTTTGTACATCCAGGTGAATTTATATCTTGTTTTTTTTCAGAACAAATTGGGCTTTCATTTGGTGGTAAATGGTAATGGATATCTCCTAATATTTTTTTTTTTTTTTTTATTATCAAAGTAAAACTGGCAAAATAGTAAAAAAAAATAAAATATTTTTTTTTAATTTAGCTGTGTGTTTCTTGTTACTACCATAACCTGCCACCAAAGAACAACCCAAAATAAATTTTCCAGCTCTTGATGATTGCAGTGATACCATATATGTGTGTGTTATTTGTTGTTTGTACTCGTAGTATAGCCCAGAAACAATAGTGCGCATTTTGTGTTTGGTTTTTTTTTTTTTTTTTAAAGCACACTGACACTGAAACCAGTAAAAAAAAAAAAAAAAAAAACCTGACCTTTTGACCCAAACACTAACCCTGGCACTGAACTAGATCAAACCTTGATCTAGGTATTTTTTCTTTTCTTTTTAAATATTTATTTATCTTTTTTTTAACAAACATTTTTTTTTGTTATGTGTGCAAGGAGTTAGAGAGATACAATGTATCTCTCTCCTCCATTCATAGAGACAAAAGAACAAGGGGGCAGGCTGTACAGTGACTTGGCACTATGATAGCCAATCAAAGGCTATCACAACGATCATATGACCTGGAATCGGGAGTCCCGCGTCCCGGTTGTTCGAACGGGATCCGGGGCTCTCAGTGACACCCCAGTCTTTGTGCTGCGAGCGCGCAGTGCGGCACGCTCCCAGCACAAAGACAAGTACGCAAATATGCAGCCCCATAGAAAAAAAGCCCAGTTCTGTGAGGCCACATATTTGTGTGACGTCGGCATGAAGGGGTTAAATAATATGTAAACCCAACCTTTCATATTCTTGATATGTGCCTGCTGTATTATGTACTTGTATGACTCAGCAATAGCATGCAATGCTGAGCTACAGCCAGCAAGGGAAGTAGACTATGAGCATACATTAAAGATGGTATTTACCCAGGAGATAAAACTATACAATTATCACTTTACAAAATCTTGTGTACGCTGTCCAAGTTCTAGCCACCAGTCCTTAGTAAGGATCTTCCTGAACTGGAGACAGTCCAGGGAAGGGCGATGAAGTTGGTAAGTGGGCTGAAGGATCTACGTTATGAGGGACGACTACAAACAAATACGCTTATTCTTCCTGCAGAAGAGACGCTTAAGAGAGGATATGATCTCAATATGCAAATCTTTAAACAATCACTGTATCATTGAGGAACAGCATCACACTGGTTATCCTAGCGAATTGCTGTGCCTTTTTTTTTTTTTTTTTTTTTCCCCCCCCCACAAATGGAGCTTTTTTTTATTTTTTGTGTTTATAAACAAAAAAGGCTGACAATTTTGAGAAAAAAAACAATATTTTTTACTTTTTTCTATTAAACGTCCAATAAAAAATGTAAAAATTCAAATTTCATCACAAATTTAGGCCAAAATATATTCTGCTACATGTCTTTGCTAAAAAAAAAAAAAAAAAAACAAATCTCAGAATGTGTAAATTGGTTTACATGAAAGTTATAGCATTTACAAATGGCGGTTTATATACTGGAAATTATTTTTTTTACTTGTAATGGCGGCGATTAGCGACTTGTAGCGGGACTGCAGTGGGCATTCTGACACTGGACCCTGACACTGTACTACTGGCAGAGCCATACAAAGCAGTGTGCAGGAGCTGACAGGGGAGAGATCTGTGTTGTTTATACACAGGTCTCTCCCCTGTTGGAGATACTCGGCAATCACTGGGTGCCGGCAAGTAATCACCGGCCAGGACCCAGTGATTGACAGCCGAGGCCGCGAATGGTGACATGGGTAGAGTGCATGCGTGGATTGTGCATGCTCCCTACTCGGATGGGCAAAATTGCCCAGTATATTTGCTATAGGGCGGAGGGGAAGTGGTTAATGGAACTAAATTTATTTTGGTGGACACCTCTGTTAAGACAAATTTATAGGCTGCTATTGCTGACCACCTGCTGAAAATTCTAGGTGCTATTCTATCATGCCTACATTGAATATTTTGAGCCACTAACCCGGAACAAGTTTTCAACCGTTAAAGTGAGAATTCTTAATCTGCTCAGTTCTGGAACTAGTGCAGAATATATAAAAGCTATTGGATCGCAATGGCAGTCAGAAAAATTGTATTTTCAGACGGTCTTTAGCAGCAGCTTAGATTTTACTCTTAGCAGGTTTCCTTAAAGTGGAAGCCCAGGCTTTTCCTTACTTTGCCTAAACCTGCACCCACCCCCAACTTAACTTATTCTAATTACTCTGTGAAAGGAACATATGTATACTTGCCTACTCTTGAGGGTGTTCTGGTCACGTGATTGGCTCCTAGCAGCTGGCTTCAGGGGAGAGGAGGGACAACCGACAATGGATGCCTCATAGCAAGCCTATGGGTGATGTCACTGCATGGGCATTTCAGCCGTTGTTGGCCATTTCTCTTTTCCCCTCAAGCAGTCCACTGGGGAGATCATGTGTCTGGACTGGATCACCCTCAGAATAGATAAGTATACACATCTTCCTTTCATAGGATAGTTAAAATTAGGGTGGGAGCAGGTAAGCATAATATAAGGAGTAGCCTGGACTTCCATTTTAAGTGTCCCAAAGTGCAATCAGGTCTTTCCATTTACAATGTTTAGAAACAGAGTCGCTTGGGTTATTTCTTGGCTATGTATTTTTTGTCTTTCTTGCATCCATACTAACTTGAATACGTATTTTTTGAGGTTCCTTTACTCTGATGAGGTTCACATTGGGCCAGAGACGGTCATGACTACCCTGTACACAGCAAAGAAGTACGCAGTTCCAGCACTGGAAGCACATTGTGTGGAGTTTCTCAAAAAGAATCTTCGGGCTGATAATGCCTTCATGTTGCTCACTCAGGTATGTGGCTATGAGGTTCAGCAGAAAATAAGTAACTACTTAAATTAACCTGTCCTGAAAGAGACATGAAGGTTTTGCAAAGCAGTTTCGGTTTCTAGCTGACGTGTTCATCTTCTTGTATCAGTACTTTTTGTCAATGGTCTGTGTACTTTCAAAGCTGGGGACTCAATATTTTAATGTCCATCTGTGGGCAAAACCTTGCGATGGGCTTTAGGCTTGAGGATTGGCAAATCAGCCAGGCAGCTAGCATGTTCAGGAGAGGTCAGCAACAGGAGCCCCCAGATTTTTCTTATGACGCTCTTAAACCTGTCACCTCCATTTGTAAACCCGTGCGTAACTTTTCCCTCAAGTATTATACATTTATTGTAACTGCGACATTGAGTAGTAGCAAGGTTGAAGGGTTATGTTTGGTGCACAATGTGCCACATGTATACCCAACTTGAGCAACAGTCAGTGCTTATCAATACCTTTGTAGCAGATGTTTGCCATTTTTGGAAGCTTGGATTAAGAATCTGGAGAAGCAAAATGCATCACTAAGGTTGAGAATGCTGAGCGTAGTCTTCTGCTTACCTAAGCAGTCTAATAATGGGGTAGATATGGAGGAATGACTCGGGATTACAAAGTAGAGAATGTGGCAGGAGATGGCAACTACCCCAATTAGTAAATTAAGGTGCACATGGAATGGCTTTGTAAAGAGCAGTGGTGTGAACAGGGAAATTGGTAGTGTAAATATTAGTGACAGGAGGCTGAGTGGCTGCATAGGAACTGTGGGAGGTAAAGACGAGAGGTGACAAAAGAGGGAGCTTTATATTGGCTGGTTGTGTGAACCATCTTTATAAGTAACAACAGGGTGTGGAGGAACTGAAGAGGGAGGGAAGTGCAGGAATAGTAAGTCACTGGCAGAAACAACATCGGATGCTGCAGTGTGTGGCAGTGATGACATTTACTGTCGAAAGGTAAAAGATGAGCCATGGAAAAACTATGCAAGTGAATTAGGTGAAGAGGAATCATGAGAATGAAGTGTGACTGAGAGTGCAGTAAAACTGGAGGTAAAGCTGTGATCCAGGGGGTGAGAAAAGGTGTCAGGAAAATGTGCAGGAGGGGCTGCAAAAGCGGAGCGCTGAAGGGCAATACTGAGTCAAATAGATGAAGAGGTGGAGAAGGGGAAGGGAGAGTGAGTAGGACAGTTCAGTTGAGGGAAACGGGACACCCTAGAACTGAAGCCAATCAATAAGATCTGATATGGCTATGTGAAAGCTTCAGACCTTTTCTGATTGGCTGCAACATCAAAGATCCTGTTTACAGATTGTGTTTACATTAGTCAGTGAACTGTGGGCCTGCAGCTGTTTCATGCTTTTGAGCTGTTATTTCTTACAGGCAGCAGACAGCTGTGGCCCATTTAGAACTGCTGATTTATGCTGCCTATGTGATGTGCAACCCAAGAAAAACAGTTGGAGCTTAGAGAGCTAAATGTGTGTGGCTTATGTCTTGATGTGAGAGGGAGCTATTTTGGATTTCATTGGGGTATACCTATACACAAGGGGTAGGGGAGAGCTTTGCTGAAGCAGTTGAAACTATTCAGACATTAAAAAACACTTGCCCTCCAGAGGATTTATCCCCCTTCCTGACCAGGCCATTTTTTGCGGTACGACACTGCATTACTTTACCTGACAATTGTGCGGTCATGCAACGCCTGCACCCAGATTAAATTTACGTCCTTTTTTTACCCACAAATAGAGCTTTATTTCCGGTGGTATTTGATCGCCTGTGCGTTTTTTTTTTTGTTTTTTTGTTTTTTGTTTTTTTTTTTTGTGAGAAAATAAAAACATTATTTTTTACTTTTTGCTATTAAACCTGTCCAGTAAAAAAAAGTTTAAAAAATCAAATTTCATCATAAATTTAGGCCAAAATGTATTCTGCTACATGTCTTTGCTATAAAAAAAAAAAAAAGAGAGAAAAAATCCCAATACGTGTAAGTTAATTGGTTTACATCAATATTATAGCATTTACAAATGGCAGTGTATATATACTGAAATATTTTTCTTTTTTTAACTAGTAATGATGGTGATCAGCGACTTATAGCAGGACTGCAGCGGGCATTCTGACAATGGGGGGAACTTGCTTGGTGTCACTGACATCCCCAGTGACACCAATACAGTGATCAGTGCTAGTAAAAAGCTCTGACACTGTAATAATGGCACTGGACATGAAGGGGCTAACATCTGGGGCAATCAAAGGGTTAACTGTGTGCTTTTTCACTATGGGGCTGTGTGCGCGTCACTGTAAGCACACTGCTTTGTATGGATCGCCGATGGCCAATGGCCGGGACCCGGTGATTGACAGCCGAGTCCGCGAATGGTGGCACGGGTAGGGCGCATGCGCACTCCCCCTACCCGGAACTGCAAAATCATGTATATATACATGATTTTGTGCACCTGTGCTGCCCTGTAGCAGTATCTTTCCTATAGGGTGGCGCAGAACTGGTTAAGCAGTATAAATAGCACAACATACTGGGATTTATTTACTAAAGCTGGTTCACAGAGAATCTTGTGAACGTCTGCATGGAAACCAATCAGCTTCCAGGTTTAATTGCTAAAGCTTAATTGAACAAGCTGAGGTTAGAGCCTGATTGTCTACCATGCACAGGTGCACGAAGTTCTGACTGAACCAACTTTTATAAATTTCTCCCACTGTGTAGTGTATAGCCTATTTGCCATGATGGAGTGGATTTTTTTTTTTTTTTTTTTGTGTGTAATGTGGTTTGTTGGACTTGTCAAATTCTGCAGATAGACCCTTGCCTTAGGAGCATGTGCATGTCTTCTAAAGAGATGTCTGCGTTCAGAATGGTCCGATCTGTTGCACCAAACCTGCTTTGGCCTGTTGAAAATTGGCAAGGTTTTGTAAAGCACAGTCCAAGCACAGAGTTCCCTGTTTGTCTTTAAGCTGAGTAACACGAATTGGAGGGTGACTACTTTCCTTTATCTTCTGTGGTCAGTGTATGACCTGGCCTCCCCCTATCTCTCCTGCCTTGAGTGACTGTGGGTTTCCCCTGCCAGCTGCTCCTCCTCTTGTCTGTGCACTGTTCCTCTTGTTCCTGCGTTGTCTTTTTTTTTTGTTTTTTTTTTTTTAATCTAAACGCTGATTTGTTAGGCTATATTTAACTTTTAAGCAAATGTTTGTATATTGGTGAAGTTCATGAGTACGTTAAGAATTTAGAAGCTAAAAACACATCTATCCCTGATAGCACTCTGAATCAAGAGGGTGGCTGTGGTGATTGTATTGTAGTGCTTGATTCAGTAGAGATTTATAAGAAGGCCTGTGTTTATTGGTTTAGATCCATAGGTGTTAATAAGCATCTGTTCCTTGCAGTTGATGAGGATGATTGAAATTGGCCAACTGCAATGTTCTGAACTGAAGCAATGGCTAACAAAACTGTTAAAATGTGATGGACTTGCATCTTTTTTTTTCTTTTTTTTTCCATCTGACTATGTAACTTTGTGAAACAATGATTTGCTGCTTTGGGTCACCATTCTGGCTTAATTTGAAGCACCAGAGACCATCCCCACCCAAGACTTGCATTAGGGAAATATCTGTTTGAGATGGGTTTATTTCCTCTAGCATGGCACTTTCGCTTTCAATCTTTTCAAATGCCCAAGGATCTCAGAATGGGTTTTTTTTTTTTTTTATTGCGGAGTTCAGTCACTTCATATTGCAAGTGACCATATTCATGACTGTGCATGTGTTGAGAGTGTCTGTCTAAGAATGACAGCTGATATTGGGTTTAAGACCTTTCTTTGGTGGGTGAGCACCACTATATAGTCTGCAAATGGTGCAATTTATGGCCCTCCCCAATGTGTTTATGCTGGTTTCTGTCTTCTCTATCTTATCAGCAAAGTCAAGGTATTAAAACTGTTACAAGATTGGGATTTTGCATCCAGTTTGGTTTGCAGCATGCATTGGGCTCTTTCCGCTTTGCATATGGAGTCAAATTCCAGGGCGTTTGGTGTAATGTAAAAAACAGAATTTAAGCAGGTCATCAGGGCTGATTGGTTTCAGTAGGCCTGCATTTCTCTGAATTTTTAGCCTGGTCCTATTTAAAACATCAGTTTTATCTGCAGGTATGATCAGATGGTTATTTGGGGTGCATGTAGAGGTCTTGGCGGATTCCAGTGTCCCCTAGCGTGCTCACTTCTGCCTCAAGCTGCTGAAGAGATGACAGTTAAGATATGTGTCTGCCACTTTTTGTAATTGCTTAGAGAGATTAGAAGAGACTGACTTCAAGATCAAAATCTTCTGAGTCACATTGCTCCGGGTCATCTATGCCCACCATTTTGGGTGGGAGGCGCTTTGTCTTTTAGTGTAGGGCTGCAACTTATGATTATTTTCATAATCAATTAGTTGGCCGATTTTATTGTTTCGATAATCGGATAAAAAACGTAAAAAAAAGGTTTGCTGTATAGTTTAGTTAATATGTATAATGTAATGGTAAATATAAATAACCTGCTTCGCATATGGTTAGGGAATAAAATACCTAATCCACTCTGAGAATAACAGAAGAGATAAATACTCAGCGGCCACTTTATTAGGTACACCTTGCTTGTACCAGGTTGGCCCCCACGTTTGCCTTTTTAGAACTGCCCTAATTTTGCGTGGCATAGATTAAACAAGGTGTTGGAAACATTCCTGAGATTTTGGTCCATATTGACATGATATCTTCACGCAGTTGCTGCAGACTTGTTGGCTGCACATCCATGATGCAAATCTCCTATTCCACCACATCCCAAAGGTGCTCTATTGGATTGATATCTGGTGACTGTGGAGGCCATTGGAGTACAGTGAACTCATTTGTCATGTTCAAGAAACCAGTTTGAGGTGATTTGAGCTTTGTGACATGGTGCATTATCCTGCTGGAAGTAACCATCAGAAGATGGGTACACTGGCTCCCGGTGTGGTCTTCTGCTGCTGTAGCCCATCAGCTTCAAAGTTCACGTCGTCGTGCA